CGGACTCTGGGGGAAAATCCTCGCTGTGGAATGTTTAAAAAAAAGGGGAGGGGGAGAAGAACGATATGTGTCATATGTTCCACGACACTGGATATCCGCGATTGCGACTTTGCGAACTCCGCGTACCGCCCCTCTCAAGAGACTACAGGTAACTATGATCATCGACGAAGCCAATTTCAGATACGATAAGCACATAAAAGCTGCTTCCACTTGGAAAAGAAATAAAGAAAGGAAGGAAGACACGTCGCGTAAAAACGTACTCGTAAAAACAAACTGTACAAACCGAGATAATCTGTCGACTGAATTTCGCAATCATTTCTAAGGGAAGAAAAAAAGAAAAAAAAAAGTGTATAAATAGATGTATGTATGTATGTATAAAATAACGACACACGATCAAAGTAACGATAACTGTCTCGCTAAATTAAAAATCTCACTCCAATCTTTCGATTAGCTCGTCTAACGACACCCAATAAGAATGCACCGTTAACGCGTCACATCTGTTTCGTTCGTGTTCTCTCTACATTTTTGGGGGAGAAACATCGATTAGGATCGGTTATATACGATCTGGGCATCCCTTATTTCGCGCATCCACTACATGTGCGAGCCCGCGCTTGTAGCTACACAGTTACTACTACGCTTCTATTGTGTCGTCTGACGTTTTCCTCCTATTTCTTCATAAATTGCACGACTTGTGATGGTGGTGGTGGTGGTGGTGGGGGTGGTGAAGGTGGTGGTGGTGGTGGTGACGTGTGTAATGTTCGGACCAGTGATGTATACTGGGGGTGCGTGTGATGGTCGTGGAGTGCGTGTATGAATGCGGAGGAAGAGGGAGACAGAAAGACAGAAAGAGAGAAAGAGAGCGAGAGCGAGAGAGATAGAGAGATAGAGAGAGAGAGAGAGAGAGAGATGAACGAACGGGTGACAGTGATTGAGGGGGATATGGCGGTAATCTGGCTTGCGTGAAGGATTCTGACGGGGTAGTTTGGAGAACTATCACAATGGATGGGCTTTTGAAATTTCTAAAATCGCGCCTCTACACGCTTCCACAACAGCAACAACAACAATGATGACGATGACGATGACGACGGCGACGACGGGATTTTTATTTTCCACTACGCAGAACATTTTTCGAAAGAACGTCGATCGGTCCCCACCACCTCTGCCGAGAGTGAAATCCGCTCGAAATCGAGTACTTGTGTTCGCGAGTTTGCACGTATACGCGTATCGCGCGCGAATTTTGAAAAAAAAAAAGAAAGAAAAAGAAACAAATTTAGCCATCGAGCACTTGGACGCGGACCCGAGCTTTGATCACGTCGAAATGTACGGGAAGTTGTCTTTGGGTGAGGCGGTTTTCTTCGTTCGAGCCTTTCTTAATATCGTCCCATCACCTTGGCTTTTTCGACAAGTTTCGCATTGTCAAATTCGATATGTTTTTCGTCAGAGTTCGAATGAACGTTTTCACACGCGTTATTAAGCGGCATCCTCGGCGAGTGCACGTAGCTATCGACTGTACACACTTTGCCTCTTACGACTGTCGCGTAGAATTGGAGAAAGAAAGAGAGAAAGAGAGACTGACTGATCGATATCGTAATTTTGGTGAAAAAGAACGACACACTCGACTCGAATGGGATTCGTCCCATCCGCGTTGCATTTCATACATCGCGTCTTCTTACGTGTCACGTTGCGAGCTTCCCACTACGCGCCAAAAAATTCTCACCAAAGGTGCGATTACCTTTACCGTTGTGCTCGACGAAAATAGAAATAATGCGATCGAAATTTTATATATATATATATATATATATATCAACGATATGCTTGTTTACATCGCGCATAAAGTGTCAGCGGTATCGATTGAGAAACACACGGAATTGTTTCGAAACAAATCCCGGGATGTATGAAATATCGAGTACTGCGCGGAGGATTTTGAAATTCAAACCGATATCGACATCCATATTAATTCATTTACATTCCGTGCGTTGCTATAAAATAAAAAAAATTTCTAACCAGAAATATCACACGTGATTTAGCGTAAGCCAAGGAGAAACGGTCGCGGCCGGAACAGAAACGAGTTTCTCGCGCTTCCCCTTCTTCCCGTCGGACGATTTTTAACAGCGGGTACCGGAATCAGCGCGGTTATTGCTTCTGTTTCTTTTTTTTCTCCATGTCAAACTTTTTTTTCTTTCCGACGGCACGTTACACGCTGGCTCGATCTATCAGAAACGGTCTGAATCGTCGCGCGGCGCTCGGTTTTCAACAATTTGCTTTTTTTCTCTTGACCAAACGATTAAACGCTCGGAGAGCTAATAATAATCTGGCGAAATAAAAAAGGGATAAAACTCAAACGAAGGGTTCTTCGGGTGGGAGGACATGCTGGGTTCTCCTGTCACTATCGCTAGCGGTCGTCGGTTTGGCAATGGGTGTCTCGTGTATCCTGGGACATTTGAGGGGGTTGGCGGGTGACGGGTAAAAGGGGGGTTGTAAGAGGGTCGTTGAACGTATATATAGTATATATAAGAGTTTCTCTATACAAGAGAGAATAATCATTATATAAAAAAAGAGTCGTATATATAATATATGTATATATAGACAGATGTATATATATATACGGAAAAAATATATATATGTATATATATATATATAAATACGGCACACACAGAGAGCATGCGACACGCACGACAGGTGGACAAAATACAAAAAAACGTAGGTATCCCAAGTAGAATAAGAGAACAGTTTTTCGTGTGAATGAAACAACGAGATCGAGACAAACGTGAAAAGGAAACTCGACGACGTAAAAAGAGAAAGAGAGTGAGAGAGACAGACAGACAGAGAGAAAGAGAAAGAGAGACACGTCGGGGACTTACCTCGAGCAGCTGTTGATTCCTGATCTCCCGTTCCCGTCTCACGGCTTCCTGCCGCTCCGTCTTCTCCTGCTCCTTAATAAGCCTACAATAAGGGTATCATTAACTTCGCATTATCCTCGGCGATAAAAACACTCGAACAAATCGTTAATCAAGGGGTGGCCCCGCGAAACCTGGTTCATAAATTTTACGAACGTTCGAGAAAACGGACTCGAAAGAGTTAGAGAAGGAGGGGCAGAGGGAGGAGAGAAAGAAAGAGAAAGAGAGAGAGAGAGAGAGAGAGAGAGAGAGAGAGAGAGAGAACGGGCCCGAGTTCTGAATTAATACGGCAGAGGAGAAAAGATCTCGCGCGCGATGTCCGGCCCTCGTCATCGCCGTCGTCGTCGTTGTTGCCCGATAGCGTTTACGCTTGCGCGCACACAACGATCTTACCGGCGAAAAGATAAGCGCGCGCGCGTTAATTAAAACACCGATGTGTTGGCCGCAGTCGCCGGGACTCTGGGATTAAGTAATGAAATGCACACTACGCGCCGAGAAGCGCATAAATAATCGCGCACGTAGTACGCCGCCTCGTTCAGTTGGCGTTGGCGCTTCAATAAACTTCATGATTTATCCGGCTATCATCGATGAAACCGCTGACTGCTTGCACTTTTATGAAATAATCGACAACCTCGCACGATTTCCTCCTTCTTTCCTTTTTTTCTTTCTTCCTTCTCCCCCCCCTCTCTCTCTCTCTCTCTTTCTTCCCGTTTTTCGACACTGCAACGCTCGTTGTAGCGTCATTTGCCGCGCACTCATGTACATTCACGCCATCTCTCGTACGAAAATTTTCGTCCAAGCAACAGAAGCAAAACACTCACCTCGCTTGCTCCTTGTGCCGCTGCGCCTCCTCCTTGGCGAGTTTTTTCGCATAAGCCAGCTTGTCCCGCTCGTACTGGTTGTTCGTACGTACGTCCCTGAAGCCGCCGGCCGCCCGGAGCTCCTCCAGTCTCCTCGCCACCTCCTGAGCGCCGAGTCTGACGAATTCGGCCTCCGCTAAACCCATGGTCGGCTGCAAGAATTCGCCGACCAACGGTCGCGAGGAAAACGAGAAATTGGCGGTTGTCAGTTCGACGGGGTTTTGATGCTCCAGAAACTGGAAGCAGAAAGGGAATATTTTTCTATCTTTCGAACGGCGATCGTCGATCGAAACTTTCATCAAGATTCCGTTACGTGTCTTTCTTTTCCTGTTCTTTTTTTTGATTCTCTATCATTACGATGCTATACGATTGCAGAACAAACACGACGCGACATCGCGTCGTCGAGAGCGATAGTTTAAAACAGTTGGCCCGAATAAATCCATTCTTTTAGAAACCCGTTGAAACTTTAACTCTACGTTCTCAACTTTCTCAACGTTCTCAACAACGACCGAGCTACTCTACATTTTTAATACTAAGCAAGAAGAATATATAAAGACTTGCAGAAACACACTATAAAAGGAATTACAAGATTATCGAGCGTCAACAAGTTTCTCGAGAGACTGATATGCAAAATTCAATAAACAATTTCTCACAGCAAAAGTGCACGACAGTTAACCCGTGCGCTACTGCATTTCCCTTTTTGTGTCTCTTGGTCAGACGTCTTTTAAACGGCAGAATGGTCGAATAACCGTAAAGAAACTGCAGTATGATAGACCGACTACGATGTAACGAAACGTAGCTTGAACTTTCGAGAAGCGGCCGCGCGCGACGATTCGCGTCAATTTGATAACGCGCTTGCAGCCCGGTTTGTCGCGCATGCGATATGTTACACACGGACCAACCTTCACTAGATCGGGACTGCTCCTGAAAGTTTTCCCGCAGGGACTGTAATACGACACGTCGCCTTTTATCACTCCCGTCTTCCCCAGTCCCCTGATAACCGTTTCGCGCTTCCAACCGCGCTCCAGAGGCATCTGTAGATCTCGCTCGCTGGGCTTGAGCTTCCTCCGCTTTGCGCTGGATGTGCCCTCCACGTTGTCGTCGTCGGTGTCCGTGACGACGTCGGTGTTGCTGCCGCTCTCGCTGGTCACGTCCATGTTGCTCTCCTCGCCCGAGGCCTCCAATAATTTGTTCTTCATTTTCTCCTGCAAAGACCGCTATATAGGGAGAATGGTTTTAGTTGCGAAATCATAAGCGAACAAACTGAAAATCGAACGTGGCTCCTCCCAACGTGACTCGGCCGAGGCGCTCTCCTCCTCCTTCTCCTCCTCAAGTTATCCTCGTCAACAAATCGCAACAACGAAAGATGATAAGAAACAAATCAGACATATGCAAAATTAAAGCGACCAACAACTTAGAAAAGCCAGAACGAAGGAGGAAAACGATACTCGTTAAGGCACAATGTATAAATAACGTTGAAAGCAGCCGAGTGACAACTCGGAAAAGAAAGTTCCTTTGTCGTCTTTCGGGGGGGGGGGGGGAAGATCTCGAGCTCGCGAGAGCTGGCGAGGCCGTCCTTTTGCCTTTACCTGATTCTTATCGTCACCCTGGCCGGTGGCGGAGGCGTGCAACTGTGCCGCCAGTATATTCGACCGCAGCAACGACACTTGGTGAGACAATGGCACACTAGGATCCAAGGTCGGAGTAGGCTTGATCCCGAGGGCTCTGCTCTGAGCTAACAGCGAGGCGACGGTGTTCTTCTTGGGCTTTGACACGCCGCGGCCGAGATTCCGTGGCCTGCCGTCCTTGTGATGGGTCGTACTCGCGCTCTCGCTCTCCTCGCTGCCGCTGCTCGGCCGCTGCGGCGAGTCCGCCGCGGCGAACAGCTGCGCCAAGGAGGGACTAGGCGACGCTGGCACCGGCACCGAATTCTGCGGCACTCTTCTCGGTTTGGGTCCGGGCTTTCGTCTCGCTGCGTTGATCCGACGAAGATCGTTAACTCGACGGCAGACCGGAAGCGCGAAAATTCGCGGGGAAAATCGCGGCGGAGACCGAGGTCCATTACACGCTTCGTAGCATTCGAACTTCATATACAAGATGTTTGTTAACTTATGTAATTATAGCCAATGGATGCATAGAACTGATTAAGACAAACATAAAAGTCCCATATCACTTTGCGATATTTGCAATAATTATCGAATTATTAATTGCGAAGATCTGACGTGAGTGTGAGATGGCGCGACGAGATGGATAATTGGTGAAGCACTGCGCCGCAGCCATTAGGCCCAGTCGATCCAGCAAGCTTTTCGTCAAGTGAAAAATTGCATATTTTCTTTAAACCGCGGCTTTCCATGGAAGTGATTGTTTAACTAAGAATTCTCTCTCGTCACCTCAACGAATTATTATTATTTAATCGTGCACAAAGAAAGGACGCTTCGAGCGAGCGCCGGTGAAGTGTCTAATGGACCGCGCCTTGAGACAAACTTCATTTCGACTCGAGTAGACCGTCTCTCCCGGCTTGAAAACTTTCGCGCCAGCCAAATAACGCGGATTCCGCCGGGCGAATGAGAATCACGGAGACGGGGAAGATGCCCCGAGAGATTCAGCGGGCGAAAACCGGGGATTCACGATTACCGCGCATCCACGGAAATGGACGATTACTTCGGAGTCGACGGCTCGGCGTGCACGTCGCGGTGACCGCGATCGATCGCCGAGTCAATCGGCACGCGTATTCCGAAACGATCGATTTCGGGAAACGGCGAAGGAGGAGGGGGGAGGGAGGACGTGAACGGCGAGCGCGGTGCACGAGTCGGTGAGAACGCGCGCGACGCGCGCTCGGCCTCTTCTTCTCCTCTCTACTCATTCTATTTGCCGAGCAATTTCCCTCGCCGGGTAAAAACACACGGCGCTTTTACGCCACAATGGCTCTAAAACTACGTAACGACCGGAAACAAGTCGCCGCCGTGGCGGACAGTTATACTTACACGTTCGATCGGAGGCGAGTAACGATTGGCTTAAATTACTGAGCTGACTGAGCGGCTGACTACCAGAAATCGGCGAGCTACTGCTCGTCGTGGCGGGCTTTAGGGACAGATTTAGGGGCGCGTCCGAATCGTTGACGTTGTTGGCGTTGTTGCTGCTGCTGCTGCTGCTGCCGCTGCCGCCTCCTCCGCCACCGCCGCCGCCGCCGCCGCCACCGCCACCGCCACCGCCACCGCCGCCGCCGCCGCCACCGCCGCCACCGCTGCTGGTGTACGCCGTCGGCGCCGAGAGAACGGAGCCGTTGGTTGAATGAGCCGGCAGCTTGATCACCTCCACTCGATCCACCGTGTCTCGGTACTCGTTCGACTCGGCCTGGGGTGTAAAGATCGAATGCGAACGATTACGTGCGATGCACCGTCTAATGGCTCTTCTCTTTCTCTCTTTCTCGTGCCGCCTTTATCGGGCGAATATACAAACACGCGTTATCGCTGATTCTCACCATTCTCGTCGTTTGCTTCGACGAGCGACAACAAGGCGAGTCTAATTTCGCGACCGTGACCGGGCTCGTCGGGATTTTTGTTATTTTTAATATGTGCGAGAGAGAAAAAGAGAAAGCGAGCAGCGGATTTTAAATCGGATTTTAATTTGATTTCCTGTGTTTAGCGAATTTTTTTCGGATATAAGTCGCGAGATATTTTTAATACGCTGTCAACACGTCGACCGCCGCCGTGGCGATCGCACTTGGAGACTCCCAGTGAGACAACTCACCTAACATGATGATGATGTTGAGACAGTAATTAATTACATTACGCGATACTTTTTTTTATTGCAATCTAGTTGTTTCGGGAGTTTATATCATCGTATAATCACCAAGGTAATTACTGTATCAGGTATATACACAAAAATTTTAGTCTTTCTTCAGCCCTCTATGTAATTATCTCAAGTTGAAGTATTTTCCCGCCGGTTTGTGACTGAACTTTCTAAAATGCCATTTATTATGATAACATTAGCGTGTTATCGCAGTATGCAAACCTCGCGGCACGGTCAACGTGTCAACGACTGACTCAACGAGTCGGTTGCAATTTTCTCTCTCGAGCGAGAGAATTCAAGTCTCGGACAAAACATACCCCCGTGCGATTGTACTTCCTCGGCTCCATCATCAACGACGCGGACGTCGTGTTCGTCTGATGCCCGCTGAGGGCAGGGACAGGCGGCGGGTGTACGCTGACACTGGGGGTGTCCAGGGATATTGTCTTCTTCCTGCCGCGATTCGTCGTCCCAGGCACCTTCGGGCCGACTATACTCGACGTGTACTTGATGATCTCCGTGTCGGGAGGCAGACGCACTCCCCCCAATATACTGCTAGGATCACTAGAGAAGAATTCATCCCTGTGTGAGGTGTTTTCTTTCTTCCCGTCCGTTCTTCGCGCTTTCGTGTTTCTTTCTCTCGCCGCTTTATTATTACTCCACGATCGCGCGTGTATAAAACTCAAGCTGTAGCGCAACCCGATAATCTAATTTCAAGCGAGACAAGATCGCTTCGGAGAAATCCGTACGAATCTCGATCGGCGAAATAGTCTTAAAACGCACGAAGTTATACCGGAGTTGTACCAGAGGTTCCTCGTGAAAATTTCACCCTCCGGAGGAGGGACATTCACCCTGAGTTGTAGAGTGGCGTAATTTTGTGTACAACCCAATGTACACTATTAATATAAATGTATAATAAACGTACAACAAACAAATGAATGTCGAATTTAACGGTACACAACATTTAAAAGAACAACTTCAGGTTCCATCGCACGCCGATTTGTGCCGGTAGCCAGTGCAAGAACCGCTGCTTTCTCGACGAGTCTCGCAGGGGCCGCGCGCGCATTCGTATCCGACGGGAGAATTTGCTCTTCGGAGGATCCTCCGAGGAAAATTCCTCCGGCGAATACCAGACGCGTTCGGAAGTTGATCGGCGGTAAAAAGCGTCGCGCGCGATCTTCCTGACCATCCCGAGGAGCGTGAGTCTACTATCGCGAGAGAGATTCACCGGCTGAATCGCGCAAATTCTCTCCCGCGCGAGAGAGCGGACGCTACGCGGATCTACTTCATGAGTGGATCTGCTGGCATATTCACCTTCCTTCCTTGGCGGAACTGTTGCGACGGGGGTTGGGGGTGCAGCGTGAAAATACAATTTCGACAGGAGTTAAACGCGGCACGGTCCGCGAGAAATTCTCACTAAGCGTCGGTAACAATTAAGCATGCAAATGAGCGTGGGAGACGCGGGGAGGGAGCGAGAGACCCTCAACAGACCGATTGAAATTCTCTCTCCCTCTCTTTTTCTTTGTCCCTCTCTATCTCACCTGACGACGTTCGTCTGCGAATTCGACGCGCTGCTGACCGGGGTGTTGTGATGAGAGGACGTCACCGGCGCTTGAGTGGACACCGGCAGGCTGCTGCTCGTCATACTCGGCGTCGTCGAGCTGCTACTGCTGGCTGGTGGCGTCTTGTGGCTCTTGCTTGACTTAGCTGTTCGGTCGTGGAAACGGACGGTGCGATTACAAACTCGCGTTCTGCCGCTTCGACCCGATCCCGGTATTGCTGTCGGAAAAGTCCGCGTTCGTCTCTTTCTTTCTCTATCTCTCACTCATTCTCTCTCTCTCTCGGCCCGACGTTCGTCGACTCGATCGCGCGCAGGTGCTTCAATCGCTGATCTTACGCGTCTCGAGAGTCCTCCGCGTCGCGGGAAGATGTGTAGAAAAAAAAAAAAAAAAAAAAAATTGGAGGAGAAAAAAAGACGAGAGGAAAAACACGAGACTATGGACGAGCCTTGAGAATTTCACATTTTTATTCTACTCCTTTTTCCGCTCCGGCCGTGGATGACAACGACAACGACAACGACAACGACGACGACAAGTCGCGCGAGCGGGAGATAAAAATCGACGACGTATCCTTACGGGAAGACAGGCTGGCGAGAGAGTTTTCAGCGTTATAAAAGGGGATAATACGCCGTCTAAAAATACACCGTCGCGTCCGACTATACCGAGAGCGCGGGGTATCGACGCGCGGCTAATTCTGAAAGGACTCCGGCCGGCGATCGAGGATTAAACCGTAACGTACGAACGCGGACGTTTCTCGAGCATCGCGCGCCGACGTCGATCGTGTTGCTACTTACACTTACTGGACTTGTGGGACGAGAGGGACGGGGGATTAAGTAGAGAGGCGGGATAGGGCGGCAGGAGGCTCTCGGCACCGGGTGGAAATCCGGGGAGTCCTGCCGCTCCTTGTAGCCTCGCGATGTAGTCCTGCGCCGCCAGATGAGAGGCCATTGTCCACCATGCCGCGCTCGCCGGATTGATGCCTGCAACAATCGGCATCCGCCGTGCCGTTCGGCGCACGTGAATTCGCCGCTCGTCCTGCGTGCAGGAGGGAGGCGCAGCCAAATAAAGGGGGCAGAGGGGAATCCCCCGCGATCGATTCGATCTTTAACCCGGCGTCATTGAGGATATGAGTCATGATGACCCGAGACACCCATTTTTAAATCCGTTCAATATTTTGTCCAATAAGTGACTGTTATTATTCTAGAAAAGTTACCAGCCTCCCAACTCTTCCTGGTGTGTCATATAAAATAAGTTTTAACTGATCGGACACCTTGTTATTTACCTTGTCGGGATTCTTGTTCATTATACCTTATGTACTTTGCATCACCAGCTTTCCACAAGATCGATAAATAGCCACAAAACTAACGAGACACGCAATCTTTATCTTCAACATTACCTATCTCGTCCACGTTCATTTCTTTTTATTTACTCGAGGGAAGAGGTTAGCGTTCGGGACATTTGACGAAGCGATCTGAAGAGTGTTTTCTTTCGTTCGCAAGCATTCTTTTATTTGGAAATGGCACGCAAGAATTTTCAGCGTGTCACTTGTCGCTTCTGACGCCGCAATTTGATATAGCCGGGAGCTTTAATCTAAAATAAAACGTGAGAAGGATTCAATAAGGTAACTTAATAAGGACCTGACTATGAATCCTTAATAAGGTCCTGATATCCGCGCGTTGTGTTACACGACTGGGACACGACTTACTGGGACACGCGATAGTATTATCTTATCCGGACCTGATGACCAAATGAGGTTAAGCTGATCAGGAACATGAGATAAATTTCTAGTCGGGATCTACGCGATTGGTCACCATGTTGCCGAGGTGCTGACTTTGTCAGCGACTGTGGCACGCGCCGTCGCGATTTGAATCACAGTGCAAGGAGAAGATTAATATATTCTTCATATTACTCTTGATATTTGCCGTTGATCGAATGTCAGTCCAATTGCGTGTGACAAAAATCAAACGTATCTATTTATTTATTTATTTATTCCCTGCTGCGGGAAATCCTGCAGGGGCGTAAGGAAGAATACAAGAGCAAATAATTATATCACACGAACGAAACGAACGCGAGTCAACACGAGATACATGAATCACTTCACTTTACACTAGGAAAAAAAGTGTAGTATCTCTAACAAAACTGTTTAGTTGAGGCATTTTTTAATAGCGACCAAATATCTTGTTTTATATAACAAAATATTTAGTTGTCTCAACTAAGTATATTTTTCTGCTCTGTTCTCTGGACCAAATGATTTTGTTCTTAGGCCTCATGTACAAAAATTAAGCATTTTAGTTATTTTATTCATAAAAATTACATAATAACGAAATATTATTTTGCATAAACTAAAATAATGCCCAATGGATACTACTTTGTCTTTCTGTGCACTAAAATTTAGATTTTATATATTAAGAAAAAATTATAGTATTTTTAACAAAATTCATACAGTTGAAGCTTTTTGATTGCTGTAACAAAAGTATTACGTTATACGAACAAACCGTAATCAAACAAGATATTTGTTTAGAGGAACTGAACAGTTTTGTTGGGCATATTTTAACCAAATTATTTTGTTGTTACAACAAAATTTTAGTTCACGCAACAATACATTTTTCCTAGTGTATGCTCAGATGAAATCTTTCCCTCTACTATCGCGAATCACGGCACGTCGCTTCGAGCGGCTTTTCAATCACGCCTGAACGAGAAATTTTCAGACGTGTGTCTTCAGTGACTTTGCTCGCGCGCTTTCAGACAATCGATGGAAATCAGTGTGGCAGTCAACGTGTCAACAAGTCGTGCCGTACTGTCGAGGATCTAACGGCGCACGTGTCCGTTACGTACATGCCCCCCCCCCTCTTTCTCTTTACGCCCGCGCAGATGTCGACGAGCTAAATAACGATCCCAAATTATCGCGAGATCGGCCTCGCGAAGACAGACAGACAGACAGAGAGAGAGAGAGAGACAGAGAGAGAGAGAGAGACAGAGAGAGAGAGAGAGAGAGAGGGAGGGAGGGGAAGGGGAGAGCCGCGCTTCCGAGAGGATGCGCCGCTCCTCGACGTCGTCGACGGCAACGGCGACGTCTACAGTCACGATAATCAATGAGACCGGCAGAAGACCGGAGAAGGAGGACGAGAGACACGAAGGGTAGGCGAGAAGAGGGGAAATTGACTTACCCAGACTCGCGGCTTGACTGGCAGCTACGCTGAGCGTCCCAAGGCTACTGTGCGAATACGGGGGCGGGGGTGGCGCCGTGGCTGGCGTGTGGCCCCCAAAGCCAGGCGCTGAGCCCCCTCGGCCGAGAATAGCGTAAGCCGAGGGCAAATGGTGGGCCCCCAAGCCGTAACCACCCGGCATCCCGCCGAAGAGCGACGACGCCGCGCTGTCGCCCCGAGGCCAGTATGCTAAAATTAAAATCGTAGAATCGCATGAATGGGCGAAGGCGACGGAGGAGGCGGAGGCGGTCGCGCGCACAGCCGGGAGAGAGAGGGAGAGAGAGAGAGAGAGAGAGAGAGAGAGGAGAGAGAGAGAGAGAGAGAGCGAATTCGCCGGGGGTACTTTACGTAACGTAAGCGCGTCCGCCGATGAATGACAACACCCGGGCAGGACGACACGGCTGCAGCTCTCCGAGGAGCAGACGCGCCCGCGTTTCGGGCAGGGGGTTTTCGGGCAGGAATGAGTCAACGAGAACGCGCCAACTGGAACCGCTGCACCGCCGCGAGCTACGCGCGTTCGCCGCGCGATAAATATACCGGCGGACCAATTATAGCTCGGGCGTTATAAAATCGAGATGCCGATTCGGAGCGGCGCGGCATTTCGGAGAAGCCGGACCTACGGAGACTCCTCGAGGCATTAATTTGTGACATGGATGCGCGCGCGCGCGCACACACACCACACACACACACACCACACGAGGAGATATACGCCGGCGCACAATTCGGAGTCGCGATAATTCGTCCGTGTCCGCTGTGGAAGCACTTTCGACGATTAAATTCGCGCGAAGAAACATTGCGAGATCCCGGGTCGCCGTCGTCGTCGCGGAAAATTAATCGGCTCTGCCGACACACTTGCCTTGTGATTTTTCGCATCCCTGTTTATCCGTCGCGCGACAAGTCGTTACCACCCTTTTCTCCCGCACTCTGCCGCATCTGATCGCAACCGCCGCGATATCGATTACCGCGCGCAATTCCGTGCTCTGTACGTATGTATGTATGTATGTATGTATGTATGTATGTATGTATGTATGTATCGGCGGTTGGTACTGAGCTTAGCCCGCAGCCGTTACTCGGCCGATTCGTCGTGGTCATCTGAATAAATTAATTAATTAGCTGGGAGCAATGTGTGTCATTCGTTCGCGCGCGATAACGTCGCGCGTTAGGAGCAACGTTACGTGATATATTGCGCTCTGCCGTGCGGCGGGATACTCATTTATGTATGCGTAGAAAGAAGGAAAAAAGGGGAGGGGGGGAGGAGAGAGAAGGAGGGAAAGGATTTGCGCGGGACCCCGAAGCGAGAATACGCGCATAAATCTCGCACGCGACGAATAAATGCATCACTCACCGGCGCGCGCGAGGGGAAATGATTTCGCTGCAAATGCATCGTAAATGTTTGCAAAGGGGTCGGGCGATTGTTAACCATGTCGCGATAATTTCGCGAAATATTATTTCCGCCAGCACGGAATATATTCTGCATATTCGGCTTCTCACGGCGACCGCGCGGCGGCCGAGGAGCAGATTTTCGCGCGCGCGCGATTATGTTATTTTTGTCTGTCCACGACGTTGCCTGACATTATCTCTCGGCGATTAATCGCGCATCGCGACGCATCGGATTCCTCGGAAAGAGAGAAGGAGAAAGAGAGAGAGAGAGGGAGAGCGGGGGAGGGAGGGAGAAATTCTTAAAGCAGCGCGATTAGCGCACGCGCACGAGCGCTCGGAAGTTCCGAGTTATTAATAGAAACGAGTTTTCATTCTTCGCGGCCGGCTCTTAATTAAAATAACTGTCAAACTGTATTACCGCGCTAACGGTTACGCGAGGGAATACAACGCCGACGAAACGAGTAGCTTTCGCAACGCGATAGCGGGTATAAGTGAAATAATTGAGTAAATCGTGCATGTGCACGTTATAATTTTAGAAACTAAATGTGCACGTGCCTGGTAGCAGAGAGAGAGAGAGAGAGAGAGAGAGAGAGAGAGAGAGAGAGAGGAGAGAGGAGAGGAGAGAGAGAGGAGAGAGAGAGAGAGAGAGAGAGGCGGTGAAAATAATTCACGGAAGCCAAGAACTCGTTATGATAATATCAATCGTACAGACGTTAGCAAAAGCTAACGGTTTGCCAGAATTTCGTCGAGTCGCGGGAGCGGGGGCGGAGGAGGGGGAGGCCGTGAAACCGCAAGCCGCGAATTATGTGCACGATCGATGAATGCAAATTTTGAGCATATTTCTTCTTTCGCTTCTATCGCGGCGCCGCGGTGTCTTCTTCCGGAGGACTACGATATGATATTTTGATGGGACGCGCTCAGTGTATTAAAAACAAAAAAAAAAAAAAGAAAAGAAAAAAAAAGAAAAGAAAAGAAAAGAAAAAAGAAAAAAACGAAAAAATCGCAAGAGCGACACAAGTGTCGCTGAGAAAAAGTTCATGCGCTTTTGGCGAATTCTTTTGGAATAATACATCCTCTTCTCTGTCTCTCTCTTTCTCTCTTCGGCACGAGTTTCCACGCTCCGATATAACAGGCGACGTCTGTACACACGCACGCTACCGCACACCGAGGCACTCCTCACATTTGCATTCCTTATTGGATATTTGCATATCTAAATGCACTTAACTCATTCATCGAACATACATAATAGCGAACAACCTAAGACAGAGAGGGAAAGAGAAAGAGTGAGGGGGAGGGAGGGAGGGAGGGGGGAGAGAGAGAGAGAGAGAGAGAGAGAGAGAGAGAGAGAGAGAGAGAGAGAGAGAGAGAGAGTGTTAGTGAACCCGACGAGTGCTCGGTACTCATTCACAAGATACCATCTCGCAATTTCGAATGCGCAATTTCACTCGCGGAATTCGCCTCGCTCCTCTGTGCGATAACGCGCATAATAAACTTAATTAAACGCAATGCAAAAGTTCGCGCGCGCTCGCTTGCTCTTTCGATATTAAAATCCTAATATTTCTCGAGAGATTCCTCAACAAACGAATGAGACATTTCTAAAAAATAAAAAAAAAAATAAAAAAAGAAGAAAAAAAAAGGAATAAAAAAAAAGGGAAAAGAGGGAAAGAGGAAAAGAGGGAAAGTGAAGAAGAGAGGAAAGGGAGGAGGGGAGGGAGAAAAAAAGAACGGCCGGGATCGATTCCGGGTTGTTTCACGACGTCGTTACGTAAACGCTCCTCTCTTTACCACCCCTCCTTCCCCCACCGCCGCAGGAATCACGCGTTCAACGACTCGACGAGCGCGTAAAAGCGCGAGAACCTTCGAAGTACGCGCGGGAGCGCGTTCGCCTCGATCTCGTTTGGCGTTGGTTTTGCGGGTGGCGGTACTCTCGATCATTCGCGGCGCATTCGTACAATTTATTGTTACGAATGCCGGCGCAAATGTACCGTTCATTTTCTACGAGTGCGCCGGCCTTGAGCAAGGCCGTGGCATTGAAATCCGAGCGCCGCTTTAATTTATACCGGTCGTTGAACTCCGGCACACTACTGGCTTATACGACTGCTTCACCCAGTGAAACAGCCGCCGCAGCCGCATAATAGTTTACGTGCATACGCATGTGTTTACACAAATGCGCCGCCGCATTCGTACGCGCGTCAGAGGGGGGCGGGCGGGTGAGAGAGCGGAAGGGACGCGCGCGCACACACACACACACACGCATACGCACACGACATGCACGTACATTCGCGCGCACGCACACATAAACAGGTCAGATATACACGCGAGCGGAGATCAAAGTTTCATTCACCATCGATTTCCTATGCGCTCTTTAAACGCATCTACTACGCGCGAAACGCGAAAACTGCGAGAACGAGCGCGCTCCATATTTCTCCGTGATTTGTTTCCACTTCCCGGCCACTTCCCTCCCGCCGCTCTCTGCCTTTTTCTCTCTCCCGCCTTAACGGAATATTTAGCGCGGCCGTAAATAAATCACAGCCACGGAATGAGATTGGCGCGGCTCCAGCGGATATCGATATTCCAAGACGTCGAGGATCGCGATGCGAGAGACGAAAATCGCACGAACGACACGTCGGGAAATATTAATTATCGGTAGCCGCGCGCGTGCGCGCGCGTTCTTCCTCTGGCATATTGAGGAAATCATCGAGTTCCACGCGTATCTCTGTCGTCATTTCATTCATTGTCGGATACCACGCGTGTGTGTTTCTCCTCGTCGATCCTCGACGACCTTGATTGCGTCCGTACGAGCAGCAGCCGCGCCATTTTCTTCTCGCTTTCTTCGGATATCATTTTGACGGCTCGACGGAAAGCCCCACACGCGTGAGGCCTCCTCTTCAGTCCGGATCTACTTCAACGGCAATCCATTATTCAACCCGGCAGCGGGGAGCGGGAGGGGAGAAAAATCCGGAGCATTAACCGCCGCCGTCGTTTTCGGATATTTACGCGTGTGTCGTCGTCTGATGTAACGTTGCCGTGCCGGAGCTCGTAAAGACAGCCGATAAAATACGCCGGTGAATCGCGGGGTGGAGACGGAGAGGTCGGGGGAGGGGGGAGGGGCCCGGTAAAACGTTTCCCTGTGCGTACGTGTAACCCCCCGTCGTTATATTTCCATTTGGCGCAAAAGCGACGTAAACACATTTTCATGCGAGACATGATCGACAACACACCGTTCAATGGAAATTACATTCATTGTCGGCGCGGGGCATAAACGGTTCGCTTACAAAACGCGCCTCAAATGCGCGCCAAGTAATTCGTTTCGTACTCTCCGCTCTTTCAAAGCCGCGCGCGGCTTTGAGCGCGCTACGCGCGACATCCGTAGATGCGTGCATAGGGAGGGGAGGGGGAGAGGGAAGAAAAGAAAAAAGAAAAAAAAACTCGAGAGACACGAGAGGATATTATCGTATCGGGTCAATGCACGATCAATTAAGTTCAAGGTGTGTCTTATTCTTTTTCTCTTATACAGCGAGAGCTCGTTAGCGATCTCCGTCGCCGCCGACGATATATATCTCCTTATGAATTTATTATTTTCGCTACGTATCTTGTATTACTCTATTATTATCACCATCACTGCGCTATTCTTAGTAACGTTGTTGTTGCAATGATTATTATTTTCTCGATGCACATGTCTTTTGCTGATATTCCGGTTTGGAACGTATGAATAAGTGATAGATAGAATAGATAGATAGAGAGAGGGAGAGAGAGAGAGAGAGAGAGAGAGAGAGAGAGAGAAGAGAGAGAGCGCACACATTTATAGA